TAATCTCAAAACATTTTGAGATTCATTTTTAAATTAATATATAATATATTTTTAAATTTATCTCATAGCATTTTGAGATTAATCTCATCATATTTTTAGATTAATCTCATAATTTTGCTAGTTCGACTTTATTCTTATAATATTTCGACTTTTAAGTTAACATTTTATGACTTTATTCTCAGTCTGGCAAAAGAAGAAAAAAGGGTGACTCTTTTGCTCCGTGTAACTCTTTGCTTTAGGCCTGTTGCTGTTTCCTCTGGCGTCTGCACACGGCCCTTCAGTCCCTTATATGGGCTAAGTACCTATGCTAATGAAGCACCGGGCACGCGCGCTCTACTTACGAGGAGTTGGCAGCTGCGAACAATTCAGCGGCTTACGAGCGCGTTGATGAATCCCACGTAGGGTCTTCTTAGAAATCTACTGAAGAACGACTTGAGTAGAAATTTAAGAAGTTTCTTACGAAGTTATTCGTGAATGAGGCCCATTGTGCATAGCTATTCACCCCCCTAAAGTCAATACTTTGTAGAGCCACCTTTTGCGGCAATCACAGCTCCAAGTCGCTTTGGATAAGTCTCTATGAGCTTGCCACATCTTACCACTGGGATGTTTTCCCATTCCTCCTTGTAAAACTGCTCCAGCTCCTTCAAGTTGGATGGTTTGCGCTTGTGAACAGCAATCTTTAAGTCTGACCACAGATTTTCTATTGGATTGAGGTCTGGGCTTTGACTAGGCCATTCCAACACATTTACATGTTTCCCCTTAAAGCTGCACTAACTGACTTTGGGATTTTGAAGCCGCAGACCTGCTGGCCTCGCTTTCTGCTCCCCTCCCCGCACCCACGAAGCTATCGCCCCCCCACACACACCCACTGTTGGGACGGAGCTAGTGTCTCCCAATATGGATAAATACATGGACATGGATTTGCACGTGGATGGCGTGACCATAGAACGATAGAACCGGGAAGCGCGGAGGAACGGGACTTTCTTTTGGATGGCTGTCTCGCTGTGTAAGCAGTAACGAAGACACACGAAGCTTCAGGTTAGCTCCGCCACTTGTTGTGCTAACTCAGCTGTCTGTGCTAACGGACCTGTAGATTTCTCACGAAAGTGGGGGTCAGTGGTCCGCTGTGATTGGTCACAATCTGCGACCCGAAACACATTCTCTTCCTTGTTAAAATATAATGTCACGCCAGCCCAAATCTGCACTACTTTTTCTTCAAAAGGACGTATATCCCAATGCACTACATGGACATGGATAGCTTTTTTGTAATGAATACAAAAATAAAGTCAGTTAGTGCAGCTTTAAACCACTGAAGTGTTGCTTTAACAGTGTGTTTGGGGTCATTGTCCTCCTGGAAGGTGAACCTCCGTCCTAGCTTCAAATCACGCACAGAGTGGTACAGGTTTTGCTCAAGAATATCCCTGTATTAACACCATCCATCTTTCCCTCAACTCCGACCAGTTTCATAGTCCCGGCTGCTGAAAAACATACCCACAGCATGATGCTGCCATCACCATGTTTCCCTGTAGGGATGGTGTTCTTTGGGTGATGTGATGTGTTGGGTTTGTGCCAGACATTTTTGGAGTCTCTCACTTGCCTTTTCGCAAACTCAAAACGTGCCATTTTGTTTTTGCTGAAAGTAATGGCTTTCTTCTGGCCACTCTGCCATAAAGCCCAACTCTATGGAGCGTACGGCATATTGTCGTGCTATGTACAGATACTCCAGTCTCTGCTGTGGAACTCTGCAGCTCCTCCAGGGTTACCTTAGGTCTCTGTGCTGCCTCTCTGATTAATGCCCTCCTTGCCCGGTCCGTGAGTTTTGGTGGGCGGCCGTCTCTTGGCAGGTTTGCTGTTGTGCCATGTTCTTTCCATTTAGTTATGATAGATTTGATAGTACTCCTGGGGATCCTCAAAGATTTGGATATTTCTTATAACCTAACCCTGACTTGTACTTCTCAACAATACTGTCCCTTACTTGTTTGGAGAGTTCCTTGGTCTTCATGGCAGTGTTTGGTTAGTGGTGCCTTTTGCTTAGGTGTTGCAGCCTCTGAGGCCTTTAAAAAAAGGTGTGTATATGTACTGACAGATCATGTGACTTAGATTGCACACAAGTGGAGATCATTTCACTAATTATGTGACTTCTGATGGTAATTGGTTGCACCAGAGCTTTTTATGGGCTTCATAACAAAGGGGGTGAATACATATGCACATGCCAATTTCCAGTTTTTTATTTCTGAAAAATAGTTGTATGTATACTGTATGTTTTTCTCAATTCACTTCACCAACTTAGACTATTGTTTTGTTTCACATGAAATTCAGATTAAAAAAACATTGAATTAAAGGCTGTAATGTAACAAAATATGTAAAAAGCCAGGGGGGTGCATACTTTTGCAAGGCAATGTACATGTTTGCATTTGATTGAAGACTCTCTCAATTTCTCTCAAACTCAACATCTGGAGCTGTGACATAGAGTTGAGGCTTCCCTCTCGGAGTTGCGGGTATTGACCCCGTGCATGTGACGTCCCGGCCACGCCCACTCTCCATGACAGACGGCAGAAGTATGGGGCTTTCAGACCGCCAACGCTGAAACGCGGAAGCCCCGCTCACCAGACGCGCATTCTCTAGTTTTCAGACGCAGAGGACTTCACACCAGAACGTCCTGACGCGAGCTGGAAGTACCGGAAGTAGCCGGCCGGCTCTAATGCTAACAGAGCTATGCTAGCGGCTTCTTGTGTACAGATCTTCTCCAATATGCAGCTTTGCAGCGTGTCTTTGCTCACAGACATTCCACGGACTTTATACAACAGTAATATGTGTTGACGGAGGTGCGCCATACGTTTTTTTATATTATTTAACGGTATTTCCGCATCGGCGAACACACTCGAAGCAGTTGCATAAGGTCACGGGAGCATGACAACGCATATTTTCACAAGCACAGAGTTCCCCATTGTCACCTCTGGTTTGAGTTCTGGTGAAGTCTGGTGTGGGTCCTGTTTTGGCTGTTTATTATTATTATAGTATTTTCAGTCTGCTCGCTCAGTCCGCTAATGTCCCCGTGACCACTTTGCAGCTCAGTGATTGGTTGTCGCACGAACGTCGCAAGGAAAGGATGAGCAGAATCCATCTCCTGTGGGCGTTGATTTTTCGCTCCTGCTCCTCTCTTTTCACTTTCCCGCCAAGTCCGTGCGTCATTATTGAACAGTCCGTTCGTGCGTGCCGAGAGGTCCGTGCGTTGTGACGGTCGAACGCGCGCCACCATAGACTTTGCATTGAAACCCGACACAACGCATGATCCGGTCTGAAAGCACCATTAACTGCGAGCCTACGGACACCTGACCAAAACAACCGGTTTCAGCGCATTACAGCCAAAACTGTGACATTTTGCAGTGCGGTTGATTATACTAACAGGCAAGGACATAAGCTTTTTTATCTGATACCTGCTCGTCATGAAGACAGAAGACGACGATGGCCAGCGGCAATCAACCAAAAGGACTGGGACCCATCCAAGTACTCCCTAATATGCAGTGAACACTTTTTACAAGATAAAGCAATCACAAGTTTGTATTTATTTTATTTCCATTAATTTGGAGGACAATGACACACATCAAACGTGTCTCTTACTACTGTCCTGTATGTGCGCTGCAACATTGAAATTTTTATTTTTTAAGTCAATTGCGTGTTTCACTATTTTCCTCTCCGTCAGTACGTATCATGTTTGGCTGTAGACAGAAAAGCCACAGAAAAGTGGACTATTGCTAATGCTACCAGCAAAATGTACATATAAATCTGCTCCAGTGGGGATGCATTGTTAACGATAAAGATCATGTAGGGTGAATTTGGGCAAAAATAGACATTTTATTTTAATCGATAAAATTGACTGGGGGGAGATGGTACGGGTCAACATCCAGTTAGGCAATCCTTAACTTCTCCAAATACCCCTCTTTGTGAGCCCTGACCTGATGTCCTACTTCCACCTATAACGTAATCGAACATGTGCTTGAATCAGCCACTTCTCGATTTAGGAGAGGAAGCTCAGTTTTTAAGAGTTGTAGTCCGTTTTGCTCTCGCAGCAATGCTAGTTTCCAATACTTCCGCTGTAAGCTCATTCACAATCACGTGACTGGATGACGGTGATGCATCTGGTCAATAGACGTGTTAGCTGGTGTTAGCGTGTTAGCTGATCTCCGTAAAAATAGCGTTAATCCATGTTGTCAAACCACCTCCAGACTTTTCAGTTCTGTCCACTTTTACGGCTGGGATCTTTCATTTCACGGTAGTCACTTTTACGCTTCTTAACTTTTATCTACACTACGATGTCCCTGATATCCATTCCTTCGTCCCCAGCGCTACCTTCGCTAACACTTAAGCTATTTACACTCATTCGGGTGGCACCATCGAGCTCAAACTGAACGCATCCGCAAACTGGGTCGAGACGGGTCGGACCCGGTCAGGCAACAGATCCATGACTCCAGCCCGTGGAAACGGCCCTAATGTCCGCAAATGTCCATTTCTTGCAGATTGCTCCTCTTCTGAACAGAGTCAGAGTCCTCAAAATCAGAATTACTGTCATAACAAGTACGCAAGGGCTCATAAATAAAAGCCCCTGACTTGTATTGTCCATCACTGAAAAACAAATATCTGTTTAAAACGTCTGTAAACAACGTTATGGCTTACAAATAGCATATCAACAAAGCCCATAGACCCCTACGTGTACGTCACTTCCGGTCTCGGCAATTTTTCCGCGAATTTCTTTTTGCATGATAATTATTGATAGAAACCGCTAAGGGTGAAACTATCTGTCAAAATGAGTTTTAGTCCAGCACTTATTCTCGGATCTAATCGCGCCCAGGGCTTTAGGCTGTGCTTGTTACCGCAGCCTGAGAATGGCACGTTATAATTCTTTTTAATAAATCCTTTGTTCAAAATAATACCTCTACTCATATCTAATAAATGCAATAATTTAACAACAAAGACCTTCATAAAAACAATTCTGAGCTCACTTGCAGGTTTTTCCTTGGTCAGCCCGCTCTGAGCCCGCAGTGACCGGGTCACTCTCACAACTTCTTGTACCCACAGGAAGTCCCTCTCTTCATCAGGGAAGTGCCAGGGCGCCTGTCAGGAAGGAGACCAGATACAAAAGAGCACGCATCAGCAAAAATACCAACCCAAAACCCACAGTACGCCCAAAAACAGCATGTGAAGCAAGATTGGAGCAAGATTAATGAGTAAAATGTGATTACATGTGTCAGTTTAATGTGACCAATAAACACTCAAATAAAATCATTCTAATCTCCTGTTCCAGGGTGTACTTTGTTTTGCATATACAAGTATTTTATATGACAGTTTGGTGGAGGAGCAGAACAGCTGTCAAAGGTTGACCTGAGATCTTATCTCACATTCATCTGACACATGCTTTGACTGCACCTGTAGGCTAACCTCTTTACCACAATACCACCACTGTACTAGACAATAGCTCCACCGTGGTAACCTCTTCTATTGTATTACGGAAATCAAATCTAGACACATTAGCAATCCCATAGGCTTTATCCTTTCTGTTATAGCAGAGGAGACGACAGATACAAAGCTACTTTTGGGCGTCACAGCGACACAAAATCATCTACATCATCAAGAGGATTGTGATACTGTAAAATGTCTATAACCACAGTACAACATTTTAGTCACTCCTGTCCTGACTTGGCTACAATGACAATAGGGCATGTATTTGGGGTGTCCTGTTGAGTTGAAACAAAAGGCATCACATTTTACAGGAACACAAGGCCCCAAATTCTATTGAACTTATTGAAAAACTGTTGATTATCGTAAATTCCAAAAGCTGTATAATAAAAAATTATATAGTGATTTAAGAGTAAACAATACAATCTGTTGTACCAGCTGTTGTGAACGAGGGTACGGCTGCAGGCAGAGGGTGTCCTGAGGCGCTCCAGAGCATGCCTGAGAGCATGCCTGGGGAGGCCGGTGAGGCTGCAGCCGCTGCCACAGCTCCTCGGTGATGAAGGGCATGAAGGGACTGAGCAGGGTCAGACATGTGGAAACGCAGTGCACCAGGACACTGCAGGCGGCTGTCCCCTCAGCCCCTAATGTTCCCCCTGACTGAGGGGATAGCAGTGGCTTCATGTACTCCTGCAACACCACAGCAGGGCATTAGACATCTGCAGGTCTTGTTTTCTTTGAAACAACAATATAACATGAATTATCCTGAATATTTAAATAGTAAGATTGAATCTATACAAATTTTTTAGACCAATATCTTATACAATAATAGGTTAGAGGTCTTTATTAGAGGGGAAATGTTTGTGTTGCAGTGCAAATTGCAGGCAGTGGTAATATACACCACACAAAAAAGGAAGTGAGTATACAGTAGCTCTAGACAATAAACCGTTCACCTATACATAGGTATAGGCAGTTCACCTATACTTTTCCATAGGACCAAAAAGGACAAATCATACGTTGATACCATTATTCAATACTGAGAATAGAACACAACAACTATATACTGGGATCCCATGTCACATTTTTGGTTGAAAATCAAAGTGATGTACTTTCAATGCAACTGTTACTACACACATTTTACACTTTTTGTGCTCTAGAATTATATGCATGTTCCTGCCTGGTAAACGAACACAGGAATGCAGATGAAACATTTTCTAAAAGCAGATGGGAATCTGGCATAGTACAATAACAAAAGACCAGCTAAGACCAGATAAGCACGTTTTTAAGTATTGTTAAAATGTGTGGCAAATTTGCGTTTATAAAAAATTTGGTGAGAAGAAATTCTGTATATCTCAATTAACTATCTGTCTGGTATGTTTCAATACAGTGGCTATGTGTAATAATAATACGACCAATATTCTACGCTAAAGATCTAATTACTTCCCTAATATACATTGTTATTTACATTTTAGATCTTCCCGATTTAACCTAGTACATTTTGGAGTTGGTCAATTACATTCTTGGTAAAGACTCAGGCTTTTTGACAAAAAGTGAAAAGGACAGTCAAATTAAACACAGTACATATTAGGATCATTGGGCCTCATTCACGAATAACTTCACTTCTAAAATTTCTTCTCAAGTCGTTCTTAAGTAGATTTCTAAGAAGACCCTACGTGGGATTCATCAACGCACTCGTAAATGGCTGAATTGTTCGCAGCGGTTCTCTTAGATTGATGAACGCCAACTCCTCGTAAGTTGAGCGCGCTTGCCAGGTGATTCATTAGCATAGGTACTTAGCATAGGTAACCGCCCATTAATGCCCATAAAAGGGACTGCAGGGCCGTGTGCAGACGCCAGAGGAAACAAGGAAACAGCAACATGCCTAATGCAAAAAAGTCAGTTTTTCCTTCTTTTGCCAAACTGAGAATAATGTCAAAACATGTTGACTTTAAAGTCGAAATAAAATGAGAATAAAGTCATACTAGCAAAATTATGTGATTAATCTAAAAATATTTTGGACCCTGGGAGGAGATCCAGCGTGCGAGACCAATGTAGACCTGAGGAGGGACCATAGACTGGAAAGACCAGCACACAGAAACCAGCGCGGACCGTGGAGAGACCGTAGACTGGAGAGACCATTGACTGGGAAGACTGGCGCGCAGAGACCAGCGCGGACCGAGGAGAGACCGCATTGACTGGAGAGACCGGCTCGCAGAGACCAGCGCAGACCGAAAAGAGACCGCATATAGACTGGAGAGACCAGCGCGGTCCTGTAAAGGATCCATGGGCGAGACCAGCGCGGACCCGTATAGATCCATAGGAGAGACCAGCACGGAACCGTATATCCATGGAAGAGACCAGCGCAGAGGGTCAGCGCGGACCCCGCAACCTCCTGCAGCAGCAGTATATATGCCATGGTTCTGTGGCCCGTGGATAAAGAAATGCCCCCTATAAATAGGATGGGGTTACTAAAGCATATCTTATCTTAAAACAGGGCATGATTTCCAATGTATTTTATTAAGCGTTGGCACATTTCATTTAAAAATGAATTAAAAAAATAGGCTAAATTACCATAAACAATTAAATAAATGAATACAAACATCAATATGGCAGACATATCAATGTTGTGTTTTATTGAACTTCACAAAAGAATACAACACCAGTGTGCCAACATGTCGGCACTGGATGTGCATAAGAGTGCTGTCTGCTCAACTGCCTGCTAATGTTGTAAATAAAGTTAAACTTGTTAAACTACTTAAGTCTTCGGATTTGATAACTTTATTGAAAACTTGTTGGTCAAACATGTTGACACCATTATTGCAATGTACCATGAAGACATCACACAGCTGCTCCTTCAAGTATCAATCAGCACAAACCTCTGTTAGCTCTAACAGGAGCTTACCATGTAAACGTCACACAGGTTGCTGACCCAAAAGGTGGTCAGAGCCGTGGTGACGCTGTGGAGCTCGTAAGCCTCAAAGCCACGCTCACACTGCACTACTGTGGAGTAGAGGCGTGATAAGACCCAGCGTTCCATACTGCCCAGGGGACCCAGCTGTACAGAGAAACACAACAGCATCAGAGAAAAACACATACATAGAAGACATTTTCTATTTGTTTAAAGGTACACTGTGTAATTTTTAGTCCATCTAGCGTTGAGATCACCAGACTGCCAAGTGAAGAATCCTTTAGCTTGATAAATGACCGAATCTCTCCATACGTCTCGGCCACTTGACAGTCGCGTGGAGGCAGCATGTAAACAAGACCGCGTTCTCAAGCGGCACCCGCTGAACAGAGGCTCTAGTGAGTTTTACCATGGATCTATTATGGTAAAACTGCGTTTTTACAAACGCGGTGTGAAGAGAAGAGACGCATGGAGGATTAACGTCTGCGGGAGCTTAAAACTGCAATGATCAAAGAAGCAGGACATATACACGGCCACGGCAAGACATGGCTAAAAGCTCATTAGCGTTAGCCACAGCGCCCTATCTGCATCACGGTAAGAAAACACAACATTCACTCACACTGGTGAGTGAATGTCGCGAGAATGCTTTTCATCGATTATAGCTCTGCTTTTAACTGCCTCGTCCCAGGTAAACTGATTGAAAAGCTCATGTCTCTCGGTTTAAGTGTTGCCATGTGTAAATGGATTTTTAGCTTTTTAACTGACAGATCTCAGAGAGTGAAAATCAATGACTGTTTTTCTGATGTTGTTTCTGTGAGCACTGGTTCTCCTCAGGGATGTATTTTGAGTCCTTTGCTTTTTATTTTGTACACTCACGATTGTGTGTCCTTCTCTGACTCAAACTTGATCATCAAATATGCTGATGACACCACCATCATCGGTCTCATCAGTGACAATGATGAATCCTCTTATAGAGCAGAGATACAAAATGTGGTTCAGTGGAGTAAAACTAACAACCTCCAGTTGAACGCATCGAAAACATGTGGTCTGGTCTACGACTTCAGTCGCAATAGTTCTCATTTGCCTGTCGTAATCGACAACTCCCAGGTGCAGATCGTAGAGGAGTGCAAGTTTCTGGGTTTAATTCTGTCTAACGACTAGAAATGGGTTAAAAACACTGACCGAGTCGTTAAGAAAGCTCGTCAGCGTCTCTACTTTCCGCGTAAACTTAGAGAATTTACCACTAACTCTAAGATTCTGCTTAACTTTTATCGCTGCACCATTGAGAGTTTACTTGTTGGTTCTGTGTCTGTGTGGTTTGGAAACATCACAGATAAAGAAAAGAGAGCTTTAAACAAGGTGCTCCGCTCTGCAAAGAGGACCGTGGGCTGTGAGCTTCCTGTTCTGGAGGTTCTTTATAAATCCAGACTTTTAAACAAAGCTCTTAGGATTGTCAATGACTCTTCTGGCCACCCTGGAAAAGCCATGTTCCAGCTTCTTCCCTCTGGCAGAAGATATCGCTCTCAGAGATGCAGGACATCTCGATACGCTAACAGTTTTTATCCACAAGCTGTTGAGTGCAGTGTGAACAGAGCACTTTAATGATTTGCACTTGTTTTGAAACTGTTTTAGTCGATCGATTTCACAGTGACATTTGTTTACTGTTTTATTTGTTTTATTTTTGTCTTTTAATGTTGTTTTATGTCTGTATTTGTCTGTGCACACTGGTGACTTTTGCTAATGTATTCCAATGTGGTATTTTTTACTGCAAATGGCGAATAAACTGAATCTGAATCTGAATCTTGAGAGTCATAAGACCTTTTTCAGTTCTGCGGCCACATGTTATTTTACCATGAGATTAGCCGCAAGGAGTTCTGGCAATCCGGACAAACTTCCTGAATAGCGAAACGACGAAGGGTAAGACCTCTAATCAAAACTATAACAACTTTTACGGGTCGTAAAACTAATTTTGATATTCAAATATCTTGGCTGAAACACTCATCAGTTAAAGATGTATTCGAAAAGAGCATGATTTAATAACGCCTTTTGAAATATTGGGGCAATTTAATGATGACATGCAAATATTACATATTGCTACTTTAAGGTTTACTTTTATGTAACATTTTCTGTAATTTCTGCTGTCTCAGATTTTTGGCTTTTTATATTTTTTATTCAGTTATATTTGTGTAATTTGTTATCAAACGTTGTGTTATGACACATTTAGAAGCCTTTAAACACCATAATTCAACAGAAGATCCGAATAACATGTTTTTGAGTCCAAACCCTTAGAACTAAACGCGTTGGCTTACTTTTATTTCTGCAGCTCAGATCTTGATTCCATTTTTGCTGTTAAATTGCATAATTGTTTGTACACACACACACACATCTTTTATATTTGCGTGATACTTAAATATTTCTTAATTCAAAGCAATTCTGAAATACTATTGGTCACATTTTTGGCTTGTGTGTCATAAACATTTTTTGTCTGCGCATTACCTTCAGTCATTCATTTATTTGTTATTCAAAATCTGTTTTGAGAAAAGTTATTTCACTTCAGTAGACATTAAAAATTAAATTCAAATGCATGTGGTTACAACTTCATGAATGTTTGTCTAAAATGCCAGATTCCAATTCTATATCCAGTTGTAACTCCTAAAAATAACTAATCTCGATTCATTATTACTTTTTCTATTTACAATAATAGAACAACTCTTGTTTTTGCCAATCTGGGAATATTAAAATTTCCACTGCTGTATTTTCTGCATAAAGCATTTCTATTTAATCTTTCTTTAAGTTTTCAATAACTTCAGAAGTAAATCAGTAAGACTTAGTATGTTGATGGCCAATCAACGAGAATTTATTTGGCAATCAATTGACATAATATAGTAAAATAGCTCAAATGAATGAGAACAATTAACATTAGGATAAAAGTATGAAGTAAAGTATCAAATCAAATAAGCTTCTCAAATCTGCAACTGAATGCTCCTTCCTGTCTGCCAAGTGACTCAAACTTGCTCCCGGTTCTCGGCGTCAATGGAGACTTAAAGAGCGACTAAACACCAAATCAACTTTTTTTAACTCATAAACTGCATAAGTATGTTTATTGAAGTGCTGTCTACATATCCTGGTCATTTTTTTTGACATTTTAGTTCAAATTAGATAAAATATCACTTTTGAGCCAAAAAACGCTGTGTGGTGCCCTCTCAACCTTTTTGGTGGTACTACATTTGAATTTGGTTCTGGCCTCTCCATTGACTCTGAAGTTCTCTATGACATCAGTTGTTTTGTGTGACGTCAGTCTGTCAGAGCCAGTGATGTGAACCCATTCAACTCTCACACACGCCTCAGCTGCAGTTTGGAGTATTATGGCGCCATCTAGTGGATTAAAATTAAATTACATGAGTCATTCTGAGATTATTGAGTGTGATTAGGTTCAGGGGTGTAGCTTTACAATTATCTTAGTGTGTAAACAAGGGTGGAATGAGACTTTCTGGTCTGTAAACTATTGCTTTAAGCAGCAATGACAACTGTCTGTTTTTTTTGTGTGTGTGACAAGTGAGCTGTCAATCACAGCCCAGACCACGCCCAACTCTAAGCCCCCGCTCTTGTCCCTTAGTCCTCCAGGCAACGCCCTTTTTAGAGAACATTTTCAAATCTTCATGTGGGCGGAGTAAGGCTGGTCACAGGTGTTTAGTTGCTCTTTAAAATTGTTTGAACTTGAAGTTACTTGAAGATGCAGTCAGTGATTTTTTCCAGACGAATATTTTTAAATATTGTGGGAAAACATCCCTAAACCCTAAAAGAGGTCAAGATATCATGTGTTTTCAAATAGTAATGGAATTGACCAAATGCCTATAGTCTCCAAAAATTAATAAAAAATATTTTGGAGCAGACCGATAAAAATAAACCAATGGGATTCGTTCACCCCCAACGAACCAATGGGATGAGTTTACCCCCCTTCACCCTCTTACTGTTTCTCGCGAGTGTGAATGTCTGAGTTATCGGATTTTCTAAAACCTAAAAGGGCTTAACAGAAAATGCCAATTTCATGTTTGGCACCCACTCTCCCTGTTGGGACAAAGAAAAGAAAATGCTGGATGTTTGGTTTGGTGGAGAGGGGGAGTGGTTTCGAGTTGGTGCTACGGCTAAGCTAACAAAATTGCTTACTGCACCTTTAAGAATGAGTCATTTATATTTCAAGGGATGATATCTCCTTTTCTTAGGCACATTGGCACAAATCATATAAAAAGCCTCCTTTATTTAAAACTTAAACTAAACCGTGGTACAGATGCAATCGCCACTCCCTTGTTTGAAGTGTTTGAATCACATTCTGTCCGTTTCTTTAGTTGCAAAAGAGGCTGTTGTTGTCTAAACACAGTGCGCACACCTTCTCCAATGTTTCCACTGCAGCTCCGGCCTCCAGCACCCCCAGCACGAACCTCAGCGTTTGCCACAGTTTATTACAGAAGTGTCTGCTGCTCAGGATCTGGGACAGGGACAGGTTTATGTCCTCTCCTGGAGACACACAGACACAAATTTTTTTCAGCTAGAATAGCATGGGCAACATTTTACTAAGATGTTTTAAACTGTATCCCACTTTCAGGCTCAGTTTACAACCATCTCAAGCACAATCTTACTCAGAGTCTCTGTGCTCACAGTCTCTGTGCTCACTGTCCCTGTGTTCAATGTCCCTGTGCTCACAGTCTCTGTCCTCACAGTCACACATTTTAACAACTACAGTATGAAAATAAATCAAATTATCCTGCAAAGGTTTTATGTTAAATGTACTGTTTGTTTTCAGGCTGAAATCAGCATTGAAGTAATTTCTTTATAACAACAAAACTTGTAAATTAAAGAAAGAAGGCTACTCTGGGCCTGAGACACAGAACGCTACTTTGAGCCTGTGACAGAACTCAAATCTGGAATAGTCTTCCTGAACATGTGAGACAGGTTTCTACTTCACGTTAAATCCACAGATAATCCGAGGTTCTGTTTTTCTGTGCATACAACTTGTATTGTCACTTTTTTCTAACATACAGTATTATAGGTTTTTCTACACAAACAGTTCACAAAGCTTATGCACAATATATGGCATTTTTTTCAGAGGGATCTCACTATTTTTAATGTACTGTGATTACTGAATGCCTTGTGTGATTTTGGTGTTTCTATTCTTGTTTTGTTTGAGTTAGTTTGTACATTAAAGAAGCTATACCCAATTTTTTTTCTAATGAGTTCATAAAAATGCTTATTACTACATACAAGTTGTATTATAATCCGTAATTTAATAAAAATCTTGAGCTCATTGATTCAGCTTTGTATGAATTTAAGCCGTGAAAAGAGCTGAGTAGAGACTTAGCTGGCCTAAACAGATTTGTGCGTTTGTAACCAGATTTGTGTGTGTGTAAAAAGATTTGTGCGTGCGTAACTAGATTTGTGTGTGTGTGGAAAAAATATTTGTGTGCGTGTAAATAGATTTAACCCTAACCCTAACCCAAATGGATAGCTCCAGTGTATCTGGACGGTAGGTTTTGGTTTGCTTGCGCGTAAAAACCATCTACAACAGCACCATCTGCTGGTATAGTGCTAGAACAACCACATTACACTTACGAATTTCTTTTGACACACGCTAAGCGGCAGAAGTGTGTCAAAAGTGATTCGTGTGTAAGACGAGAGCCTGTGCGTAGCACTTTAGGCTTTTTTCCGTTCTTCTCTTCTCACAAGATGGTTATTTACACACAGATTGTTCTGTTGCAGATACAAATGTCAAATTACACACACACACAAATCTGGGTACACCCGCACACAGTCCAAGTTACACTTACGAATCTGCAAAGGCAGGACTGCGTCAAAAGATCTGTGCGTAAAAAAAGACTTGTATCTAAAACGTAAATTTTTTTTTTTTTTTTACACACACACAGATCTAGTTACGCACACACAAATCTTGTTACGCACATACAAATCTATTTACACATGCACAAATATTTTTCCTACACACACAAATCTAGCCTGGCCATAGCCATCCGTACACTCCGCTCAATCATCATTTCACTGTGTAACCGTCTGGGTCTGGTCCCTGTGTTAGCGAATACAATCGGTCGTATTTCGACCGGCTACTCAGAGAGCGCGGAAGGCGGGTGTTGTAGGCCGGTGCCAGTGACGTCAAGAGTTTGCGTCGAACAGGCGGGTTGTAGTTTGGCAATGGCGAAGAATGCGATAGTAAAGTAATCCGGTCTGGTTCTATCAAGAAATTGAAGCAGGAGCAAGAGTAATGTTTAGCAAATGTAATCGCTACAAAAAATTGTGGTGCTACTCCCCACGGGCTCCGTTAGCAGCAAAGGAGATGGCTAGGCTAAATGCTAAATGCTAACAACACACTCAGGAGCATTACATACGTCACGGTAAACTCAGATCCAATCGTTTCAATCTGCAAAAGGAGTTAACCCCTCCCCCGCCTGTTCACGGAGCTCAATGGAGCAAATCCAGACTTTAGTATGAAATGTAATTTGTACTAATGTGTGGTACAACCAAATCTAGTTACGCATGCACAAATCTTTTTACACACACACAAATATTATTGAAACAATAATGGCTCCATACTCCGCTAGCTTCTCTGCACAAACAAGTAGTGACAGGGACTGAAAGCTCGTTGTACTTGCGGAGTAATGTTAGTATTTTACACACCTGAATTACAAACAGATACGTTGCCAAAGGGCAGCGGTCATTATTGGTTTGAGAGTTCTGTTATCAAGAAAAAAATTAGTGTGTTTGACTGCTGCTGTGGGGAGCTGTATAACAAATTATAATTAAATATTCAAATATATTCTAATGTTTAAATTCATAAATTTGGACAAAACTAGTGGTATTCTTTTACTTATATATTTTGTTAGCAGTAAGTTGCTTTTGTACCATTTCATCAGTGATTGTTTTACACCTTAAGTTGCGCTAATGCTAATGTTAGCATCAGATATACAACTAGATGGCTCCGCGTAGTGGAAATGAGAAGCCTAAACATTCAAACCTTGCAGAAACGGGTATAGCTCCTTTAACTATACAAATAACACATAGCCTTACTCGGAGCCAGGAAGACAGAACAGTAGTGATGTCAGGGCACACAGCAACATGGGGATTCCCAAGCTCATTGATGGCCACTTCTTGTGTTTGAAATGGGTCAAGCTGCTTTACATTTAGATTATTACGATCTCCTTTGTGCCAGACCTTTCAGACCATCCACACACGGGTTCTTTAAAATAGAAACTTTTCTCTGTTAGTTTCATCATCAACAGAATATACTTAAAGGAATAGGCCACCGTTTTTACATACTGACATATGTTCTTACCAGTGACGTGCAGTCAGGGGAGGCAGGGGAGGCAGAGCCTCACCTGCCATCATTGAAAAAATGATTATTAATATAGTCAAAATATATAATTGTTTTCCACTGTCCTATGCTTATAACGTATTTTCGGCCTGTTTCCGAACAGTTTTGATCATTTCTGTAGTCAAAATCGCTGAAATCCTATTTTTCCTATTCAAAAAGACGAGGAGAGGCAGCGCTCCTGCGTGCCTCCCCCCAGATCGCTCGCTCCTACATAGTGTGTGTGTGTGAGTGCACTCAGCTCGTGCTGTTGATATATCCCTTTTTGTTTCAACATCCTGCTATGAAAACATTTGTTTAACTTGTCATAGTGTTTAGTAATGTATTGCACGTATTGTGTGCACTATATATAATTATTTGAAGTCTTTTGATCGCAGAAGAATACACATGGGAAAAGCCTAGCTAGGGGTGCTAGGTATCACCGCTAGGGGTGATAGTGAGCATGAAGTTCTACCCGAGTTGCTAACACAGACTGTAAATATTTTGCTAACCAACTATCAGTCCTGTCGGTCCTTTTTTTTTTGCTGGAAAATGGATGATTGGATTGAGGATTTGTTTCTCAACTGGACTTTCAATCATAACAAGAAGTTATATAGACAAGACCACCGCTGGACTGACGAGGTTAGTCCGGCCGCGGGGGAGGAGTTTGTCAGTGTCTGTGTTTTATATTGAAAATTTACTAGAGCTGCATAAAAGTGCTTCTCCGAAAACCACTGATTTAACACTGCTCATAATTTCTGCAACTTGTTTAAGTCTTGTTTGTGTTCCTTGTGTTTCTCTCTCTCTCTCTCTCTCCTAGTTTCTCTCCCTTTCTCTCTCTCATCGCATCTCTCGCTCCTTGCGTCTCTCTCTCACGCTCTTTGCGTCACTCTCTCTCCTAGCGTCTCTCTCTTTCCCCCCTTGCATCTCTCGCTCCTTGCGTCTATTTCTCTCACGCCCCTTGCGTATCTCTGTCAAGAAATGTTATGTGTATTATCATATTAATAAATGTGTGTAGATTAGTAGGGTCTAGTCAAGTTAACCAACTCATGCATTGAGGGTGGCGAGAATGCAGAATTCTCCCAGCCCCCAGGCAAGAGTGAAAGACGAGAAGAGTAAACAAGCATGAAGCCAGAAAACATCTGGGTTGAGTTGGTCTCATACAAGAAGACACTTCTGATGGATGAGAAGATTGTTTTCTAACCTAGAGTTCAATAGGTCATATTGTCACATGTGTTTTAAATCTTCATATCCTGTTAACTTTGGTATAAGAGGCGAGGCCTATCTATCAGCGTGGTCTTTTGTGCTTTGCCTCACGTCCGCGCAGACCCAGGCTTTTCTCTCTGCCTGTCTTTTATATGTATTCTGTTTTATATATTAAACCTTCTTTTATATCTATCCAAGTTTGTAATTTCCTTCCTTTCATCGGGCGACTGTTTAAGGAAACCTGGCTGAACTAGCATAACAATCTCTCTCGCTCCTTGCATCTCTCTATTTTTTTGGTCCACTCTAGTTTACTTGCTGTGAATTTCTGAAGTCTCTCGTTCAAATGAATGGAGCTGCGCCAGCTGACGCATGCGCAGATGCGTTTTTTCACCATTTGTTCCTATACAGTATGTGGAAAAGGCTGCGTTTGTGCTCCGTTTGCAAGACAAGAGCGCACGGACAAAGACCAGACAGGTACATATCAACTAGTCTAAGGTAAGGTAAGAACATATATCAGTATGTAAAAACGGCCTATTCCTTTAAGAAGAGCATGTCTGGTGGAATCCACATGCTCGGTTTAAAAAAGCAAAATGTGTTGTACTCCCTTGGGTCTATGTAGCCACGTTTATTGTGAGGTGGCAGAGGTTGTGAAAAGTGAAAGAACTCATTACCCTGGGTCTTGTGGGAGCAGAGAGCCAAGCGCAGGGCATCGGCCCCACATGGAGGGATCCCTTTTGGGAAGTCTTTTTCCTGAGGGGCAGAGGAGCAGAAGGCCAGTGGTTTGAAGAATAGTACAAACATGTTAGAGCTCTGTGCTTATCAGTGGACCTGACCTGTGCTTCCATGGCAACCAGTTGCTCCCGGGGATCCAGGTTTCGGGCCCTGACCTTCTGCTGGAGGCTCTGAGAGGGAATGAGAGGGACACAGTGCTATCTTCATGCTGGGATGTGTAATCAAGTCTACTCTTTAGCATTAAAACAATACATTTAAAAAATAACATGTCATGTCATTATTTTCCCCCTTATTAATAAATTTCTGGGTCGGGGGGTGGCAATCAGAGCTGCCACACAATGCACAAAGCACCAGTCCCTTGCTGATCCTCCTGCAGGTGGTGGGTCTACAAGATGATGGCTTCTCCGTCGTCGAAGACACAGCCTTGGTCTTTCAACGGAGGATTCAGGCAAAGTGAGGATAAGTGTCTTGCCCAGGGACACAACGACAGCAGACATCAGTGGGAGCAGGTGACATGGGGGAATCAAACCCACGACCATTAGGTTCAAAGACCAATGCTCTACCAACTAAACCACAACAACAGATTATTATAAAATGTTTTACATAAGCACGTTTCTGAGAAGTCACAGTTAACCCTTTCTAACTTTCTATACAGCAACCTGCTTCAGACAAAGGTTTCCCCGCATTTCTTGTAATTGCTATTTATTTCTGTAATTGTTTTTAGTAGCCCTCTTTCAGGGCTCATATTTTTGTCAGTTGTACATACATACAAGAAGCAAGTGCTTATGTATTTACAAATGCGTCAGGTCAAAAGTGGGTCATTTGTTTTTGTGCGTTTTAATTACATCGTCCTGGTACACCATGCTTCCAATAGTTTGATCAGGTATCTCGGCGCCAGTGACTAAATGTGAGGATAATAAAAATAATAATGCATCAGTTTTATATAGCACTTTTTTGGATACTCAAAGACGCTTTACATGTCATTATTGATTCACTCCGTACACGGTGGTGATAAACTACTACTGTAGCCACAGCTGCCCTGGGGCTAACTGACAGAGGCAACCAGTGTGTGCCATTCATACACACACCAGACTCATTCTATGCAATGGGGGTGAAGTGTCTTGCCTAACACCTGCCTGTCAAAGGGCAGCGGTCATTATTGATTTGAGAGTTCTGTTATCAAGAAAAAATTATTGGTAGAATTACATTCAAGTCAATGGAGTGTTCTACTGCTGCTGTGAGGAGCTGTATAATAAATTATAATTAAATACTCGAATATATGCTAATGTTTTAATGAATAAATTTGGATGCGAAACTAGCAGTATTCTTATACCTATATATTGTGTTAGCAGTGCGTTGCTTTAGTACCATTTCATCAGTGATTGTTGTACAGCTTACAAGAAGTTGTGCTAATGCTAATGTTAGCATACATGTCAGATCGCAAATTGAACTAGATGGCTCTGTGTTATGAGAGCGTAGGGGAAATGAGAAGCCATTGAGCGAGTTGGGGGGCGGTGCTAAACATTCAAACCTTGCAGAAACGGGTATAGCGCCTTTAAGAACGTCCAAGATGACATCAAAAGAGAGTTTAATGATAAAATCGACACTCTTAAGACTGAGGTGAGCGGTTTTAGAGAGGAAATTGTCGAAAGACTGGAAGGGCTCAACGCAGATTTAAAACGGTGTCACACAAGGAGTTGAGGAAGCCGAGCAGAGAGTGGCGCACATGGAGGAGTTCAGTGCTGATGTCAAAGACGCACTGGAGCACACGTTACAACTGCAGATTGAGTTACAAACAAGACTGAGTCCATGGGATTGTGGAGGAGGCTGAGGGAACAAACATTCAAACATTTATGGAAACTTTTATCAAGACAGAACTCGCCCTCCCTGAAGTAAACTTAGCCATACAGCGATACCACCGCTCACTCGGCCCCAAGCCCCCACAAGGCGCTAACCCCAGGTCCATAGTGATCTCTTCGAGTATAAGACGAAAGGGTTGGTGCTCCGCTCAGCGTGGCGTAAAGGCAATATTCAATTCAAAGGAAGACGTGTATACTTTGATCAAGATTATCCAAGTGATATTCTCTTCAAACGCGAAGCTTACAATCGAGTGAGAAGGGGACTCAAGGAAAATCGCTTTCAAACTTTATACCCAGCTAGACTACGAGTGTTCTATGTCTTTTTTCAGGTGTTGCCAGATGAGACGGTCACGTCACCTAACGGAGCAAGAGGGTTCATGCTAGTGTGGCAAGACCAGGTCTGGTGGTCTATGCTGAGGGCATTGTTACTCGCCGCCTTGCGGCGCTGAGCTGGTGGACTATTTAAGCGCTCCCATCCCATGTCACTCCTTGTTTGCCCGCACTTCCCACTAGGCCGTGTGAGTCTGCTCCTCTCCAGTCCTAGGTAAAGTCCCAAATGCGTGGCTCCAAATGGCATGAATCTCCCCATTTCTTACAATATTGTCCTTTTAGCGCTGCTGTATGACTGCAGCCTCACACCGCCTGTTTGCACGGCTTGATTTTGTGTGTCGCGCCAGGGCATGCTGCCTCATCTGCTGTGACTGGTAATACTCCTCTCCCCATTCATTCATTCACAAAAATCTAACTACTGCTCTCCTAGTCCCCCGATGGTGATTGGCCTTGTCTGTGGTGGGCATTGTTGGGCATCACTGTGTCCGTTCAATTGGGGCAACAGGTATAATTTAATTTATTTATTGATTAAGACAGCCTTTAAATCCCGCTGTCTGCTCATAGTGCTGCTGCAGGATTGGCAGCTGGTGTCCGCGGCTTGGGCCAGCCCGTTCAACAGAGGGCTGCTGAACGGAGCGGTCGTGGTGCAGTGGGAGCTAGTATTTTAAATTAGTATCTTCAAATTGCAAGTTTTATTATTTTTGTTTTACCAATGTCTGAAAATAAACTGAATGTACTTTAAATGGAACCTTGGCCTGTCCTATTACTTACCTGTGTGCCTTGAGGAATAGTTCCCTACAACAAAAAATAGGGTGGCGTTGTTGCAACCACTACTCTCATTTAGAAGTTACTCTAAATTACCTAAGGCTCGGTACTACGACACTAGTGACAAGGAAGAGGAGAAAAGAGGAGCTGACGAGCATCATCCAGGAGAGGTTGAAGGTGTTGAGACGAAACCAACCGAAACGACTGGTACATTGACATTTAGGTGAGCAACACAACAGTTGTGTAATGTGAGTCCCCCAAGCCCGACCGTGCGTGCCCAAACACTGATAAAACAGTGCCGGAGGCACTGAATGGCTTTGCTCCTGCTGTAGTACACAGTGAAATGAATGGGGTCCTATGGAGTGGGTGGGTGACCTCATGATGGCGAGGTGATTTACCGGGAACCCAATAGTTGCGTTCGTCTGGTCGTTCGCTTTAAAACAACGTATCATTTGTATTATAGGTTACTATGTAAGTAAGTAAGTAAGTAAGTAAGTAAGCTTTATTTATATACCGCCTTTCACAGACCAGAGTCACAAAGCGGTTTACAATTGTTATTTTTTGGGCACTTGTCCTCTCACTCCACACAGAGATGGGAGCGGGGTCGCCGAACAGGAGGCGCATGCCAGACCTATTGTACATATTTTTAGTGGTAGGGGAAACCGGAGTACCCGGAGGAAACCTACGCAGACACAGGGAGAACATGCAAACTCCACTCAGAAAGGACCTGGTCCGGCCGGGATTCGAACCCAGGACCTTCTTGCTGAGAGGCGAGAGTGCTATCCACTCAGCCACCGTGCCGCCCACTATGGAAACCTATATTGTTTTTTCAAAAAAAAATCCTTGGTTTGGTTTATTTATTTCTTACTTTTTTCTTCTGCGCCTTGAGCCTTAAAGGAATAGTTCACCGTTTTTACATACTGACATATGTTCTTACCTTACCTTAGACTAGTTAATACGTACCTGTGTGATCTTAGTCCGTGCGCTCTGTCATGCAAACGGAGCAAAAACGGGAGGACAAATGCAACCTCCTCTGTATACTGTGTAGCACCAAAAGGTAGCTCCCGCTAGAAGCTACCAAACTCTTCCAAGTGTTCCCTATTAAATGTATATAGTTACGTGACGTGTTACACTGCAAAGTATAGTAACACAGAAATGTAACTGTCGATTTTCTCAGCGGATAAAACGGGTACTATATTGTGAGGCGTAGTAATCTGAGGAGCGCTACGTCCGCGCACTAACTTCTCTCTGTACTACAAGTCACGCTGCTTCTATTGACGGAAGTGAGCGAGAGAGAAGTCTCCGGACAGAAGTTAGTGCGCGGACGTAGCGCTCCTCAGATTACTACGCCTCACAATATAGTACCCGTTTTATCCGCTGAGAAAATCGACAGTTACATTTCTGTGTTACTATACTTTGCAGTGTAACACGTCACGTAACTATATACATTTAATAGGGAACACTTGGAAGAGTTTGGTAGCTTCTAGCGGGAGCTACCTTTTGGTGCTACACAGTATACAGAGGAGGCTGCATTTGTCCTCCCGTTTTTGCTCCGTTTGCATGACAGAGCGCACGGACTAAGATCACACAGGTACGTATTAACTAGTCTAAGGTAAGGTAAGAACATATGTCAGTATGTAAAAACGGTGAACTATTCCTTTAAGTTGACCCCCTGAACATTGATGAAAAGTTGTGAAATTTTGCCGGAAATTCAGAACCGGCAAAATTTAAATTTTTTGTGTGTTTGTTTTTATTGGACAAAAAAAATGCCAGAACAGCGCCCCCTACAAAAGTCAGTTTACATTGCGCCTATGGGAGGGGGTCGGAGGTCAAGTTTGTCGTAGAGCCACGAAATTCGGTACACATGTTCAAGTCAAGACATGAAAAAAAAAGTTATTATGGCTCCGCCCCCTGACAAACAGGGAGCTCATTAATTTCAATGGGAAATGGAAAAATGAAAATTGATCTTTTTCACACATGCTTGGAAATCAATATTGTACTTGTTTTCTATGGAAGACTATTGGCACCTTAATTCAATTGTCTATTCATTTGTCAAATGGCTATGCATTATGTTATTTTAGTATTTATTTTGTATTTGTATTTGTCAAAGTGTAATGTTATATCCAATTTTGACATTTAATGTTCTATTCCACATGTGTCAAAGTCAAGGCCCGCGGGCCAAATCCGGCCCGCGAACGAATTTTCTAATTATCTAATATGTATGGGGATAAGCTTGAGAGCATATTGAATCGAGCCAGCAGGTGGCAGCAGCGCTCTCTGAATGGTTTGAAAACAGCTAGATGCACTTGTTGTGCCTCTTTTTTCTCAGCTTTTTGGTGATTTCAGTAAAACTTCCCTCTACTCAACTGGGGGTTACAAGCTAGAAACAAAATTATTTTTGCTGATGATAGTAGACAGTCTATTCTTTCAGAATCTGGTTTCGGATTTCAGATAGTCATAGTACACAATATTCTGTGGGTCTTGAAAAATCTATAAAAATCATCAGAAACTGCTGGAAATATGGGAGTATCTGTTCTGAAATAGGCTGGCAGGCAATGAGTTAATAAACATTGAACCAGTCCGGCCCTCGGCTCGCAGCAAATTTGTTTTTTTGGCCCTCTGATGTATTTGACTTTGACATGCCTGTTCTATTCCAAAAGTTAGAATACATCTGCTGGTGTACTGCTAGAACAACCACATTACACTTACGAATCTTTTTGACACACGCTAAGCGGCAGAGGTGTGTCAAAAAGAGATTTGTGTGTAAAACGGAGCCTGTGCGTAGCACTTAGGCTTTTGTCCGTTCTTCTCTTTGTACAACGTGGTTATTTACACACAGATTGTTCTGCTACAAATACAAATGTCAAATTACACACACACAAATCTGGGTACAGACGCACACAGTCCAAGTTACACTTGCGAATCTGCGAAGGCAGGACTGCGTCAAAAGATTCGTGTGTAAAAAAAAAAAACTTGTGTGTAAAACGTACCTTTTTTTTTTACACACACACAAATCTTTTTACGCACACACAAATCTTTTTACGCACACACAAATATTATTGAAACAATAATAGCTCCATACGCATCTAGCTAGGAGGATATAGACTCGTCTCTGATTGGCCGAGAGCGGACCAGGGCCCGCATTCCCAGGGGTCAAGAACTGCATAGCATATTGAATTAAGTTGCACTCAAACCATGTGGCAATGCAATATGCAATATGCAATATGCAATGCAATCCAGAGGGAGGTACTGTTTCACAACACATTAAATGAAACTTAACATATTCAAATGTGGAATACAAGTCAAAATAGGATATAACATGCAATTTTGCCAAATACAACTCTAAACTAAATGCCATGTTAAGAATGAATAGAACAATGAATACAGAGGCCGAAATTCCATGGCAATATGCTATTCAATTCAAAATCTTGTAATTTGAAATATGTAAAGACATTTCATCGACACTTTACACATTAAATTGCCATTAGAACTTTTGGAATAGAACATTAAATGTCAAAATTGGATATAACATTACACTTTGACAAATACAAAATAAATACTAAAATAACATAATGCATAGCCATTTTACAAATGAATAGACAATTGAATTAAGGTGCCAATAGTCTTCCATAGTTTTCATTGTTATATCCAACTAAAACATCTAAACAAATAAAAATAAAAAAATAAAAAGAATCCTCAACAATATATTATCACACCATTGCCAATATAACACATTCGTACATTTATCTTCAACTGGTAGAAAATGTGAATGAAAGAAAATAGACAATAATAACCCAGTCATGGTGTCACTGGTGCAGAATAGTTCACTTGTGTTGCTTCGCTATTACTATGACAGTACAAGTTGCCAATAAGAGCAGTCTACATGACAGAAAGCTGCTGTTCTTGGCCATGGGAGCAGTCTCTCCGGGAGCCCAGTAAAAGCACACATAATTGTTTCAGCTGGTGGAGGCTTGTTTTGCTCACCTCCAGGGTCGTGCCATGGATGACGTCCAGTGGGTCAATTACGTTGCCCAGTGATTTACTCATTTTCCGGCCGTGCTTGTCGCGCACCAAGGAGTGCAGCAGGACCTGGCAACACACACACACACACACACACGGCAGGAACTCTGAAATGTTATTCATGCAAATGAAGAGCAGATGAGAAAGAAGTGTTTCCCCATCTCCTACTGAACTATTTGGAACATAAGAATTCTGTAGAAAATGATGAGATTTGGATATAATCATATATGGAAAAAAACAATAATAATTTGATTGCAAATTCTGCTTCAAAGTTTATTTTTAACTACTTGTTATTAACTAATTGACTGCCAGCCATTATTAATGGTCTCGGAACTTTGCTCAACTAAGTTGGATTAACTGCCTTCTTCCCTGTACAACAACAAGCCGAACGGGACGGGACGCTACGCTACACATCCCGTCTGCCACGGAGAATAACAACAAAGAAACTCCCTCCATAGACCTCCGGGACCAAAAGCCAGACCACGTGTTTACTTTACCAACAAAGGAACTATACTAAAAGCCATCTTCACACAGTAAGACGTATCGTTGAATACCAATGTGTGTAAATGTGTCTGCTTTTGGTTATGGTGTACATTTCTTTGATTCGTGACTCACACACAAAGATTCTCATGCTTTATTGAGGTTTTTCGTTCTGTAAATAAACAGCTAGAATTACTATCAGCCTCCGGTGTTATTAGTTAGTAGATAGTTTGAAGAATGAACTCTCTGGCGAATAGAACGCACACTTTTAGATTTATGAGACTGATTTAAACTGCTTATTCTTTAGTTAGGTCTTAAGACTTTTCTTTCCCCTCTCTTCAGATAGAGCATCTCAATATTAGTCTAATCAGACCACTCTTAGAATAAGCACACCCCTTATAAAAGGTAGATACAAGGAAATTTCCAATCCAGAATAGTTACTACTGTGTAGATATGTTTTAGATATGCAGTGTATCCAAATGCACTGTGCATCTAAGACATATATACATTTAGTTACCCTACACTAGCTTGTTTCGTTCTTTGGACAAACCATGCAGAAAAGTGATTGTAACACTATTTAGTTTAACTTTAGCATCTCCTCAAACATGTCCAGTATCTAACATGTTAGAAAGCAGGAACAAGTTATGAGAAAGTGTTTTTGATGCAAAATAATAGGTTTAATGGCACACACACCCACATCCACAAAGTGTTGCTCGAACATTTCAAAAAGTACTCATCCAAAAAACTTAAAAATTGACATATTGAAAGTAGAGCCCATGACAAACTATGTTAGAAAGAATGGCCAGTATTCATCCATTAGGTGGCGCTATATTTATTTCAACAACAGTAAGTCACAGAATAACAAAAATCCAATAATAAACACTATAAATGACTCTAAATCAAAGTGAACAGACTATATACCAATGGTATTGGTGCAATAGAATACTGTTGTGTGTCTTTGTGTGTTTGCGCGCACATGTATGTGTGGTTACATATACAGTGTGTACTTCTGTTTATTCCAGCGAGGGCTGTGACGATAACCGGACTTTGCCGCTGGCTCCTGGTGCGTGCTCAGTGATAGTATTAGCTCCGCTGGTCTGCTGCCCTGACCATAGACTGTATATATTAACGGACAGAGTCACGCCTATCTCCGCCGTTCAAACAAATGGGCCAAAAATAGTGCTCTACTGGAGCCATCCAAAATGGCCGCGAGTGGTCCCGCCCACAAGAAAATTGTGAAAAAAACGCATCTGTGCATGCGTCAGCCGGCGCAGCTCCATTCATTTGAACGAGAGACTACAAAAATTACTATTAAAAAACTAGAGGGGACCAAAAAAATGTACCCCCCTCAGCATTGACACACATGTGGAGCCAACTTTTGGACCATCCTGTAAAGACGTTTTTGAGAGGTCTGCCAACGCTATATGTTAGCAGTGGCTTATTCTTCTGGGTCCACCCCCATCGGCCCGGGGTGGTATTGCAAGTACGTCAGCGCACGTCATTTTGGCCACTTTTGACCTGGGACCCGCCCCCCCTGGCCCTGACCCTCCACATCAGGCATGTCAAAGTCAAATACATCAGAGGGCCAAAAAAAAATTTTTGCTACGCGCCGAGGGCCGGACTGGTTCAATGTTTCTCAACATCCAGAGGCAGTGCCGGTGACACCTGCTGGCTCGATAAAGTATGCTCTAAAGCCAATCCTCATACTGTACATATTAGATGTAATAGACATCTGAGAACATGACAATAGTAAAAAAAAGCTCAAACTTGGTGAAATGTAAAAGAGCAGTCTGGACCTCTTTTCGGGGCGTTTTTTGAATAAATCTGAAGAATGGATTATACTTTGGGAAATACAAGTGGATATTCTTCTTCAATGAACAGTTACGGAGAGAAAGAGACTAAGCAAGGATGGGGAAAGTGTAATTTGTTGGAGCAGCAGAAGACGAAAGGTAAAAAACAAATACAGACTGATTTATTTTGTGCCCATATTATTAGTTATATCTTTTTAATGCAAAGTCTGATATCGTTTACACTTACATATAAATATAGCTGAGGAAATAAGCTTTAAAATGATATATAGCTTGTGGCTTATGAAGTTCAAAATACATCTGCTATTGCCAGCAGATGTATTTTTTTCCTCGTTTGCTTAAGGGGTCAATACATTGCCTCAATGGCAGGCAATGTCCCGGGGGCCATAGATAATTCATTCGCGGGCCGGATTTGGCCCGCGGGCCTTGACTTTGACACATGTGCTCCACATGGTCCCTATCAGCTCTAGAGACACATTTACTGCGCAAACTGCCTTCAAATGAAGCCTCTCCCTGACTATATTCCTCCATGCCTGCTTTTTGTATTTGTATTGTACATATTCATTTGTTCCTTTAGTGAAAATGCTTTGTTCACATAATAATAATTACATATTGCCTCAGTCTCACCCACAGAGCGCTGCTGCCATCTGCTGGCTCAATAAAACACTGTCTACAACCAAACCCCAGACATATTAACCTGGCAAGAGCCAGATTGATGATTGTGTAGAACTCTAACGCGTTCTCCACGATATCAATCTGGGATTTCTCCCGGAGAATCCTTTCGGGGAAAGGAGGGATAAGCAGCAGAATACTTCAAGCTGATTGGGCGAAGTGACGCTGTGTGCCCGCCTACCAAGGTTGCCGTCCAGAAATGCACAAAGCGCCTCTCGCTGTTCATCTTTCAAAAAAGAAATTGGAGATTCTGCTAAAACTGACTTGATAGCCTCAGCTACGCGTCCGTCCTCCTGCGTAGCCATGTTTGTTTTGCTTCGGCCCGGCACTTCTTGCTTTCGTCAAACCCGGATATCCCGCCCTACACCCCCAGACTGGCGCGTGATTGGCTCGCACACCCAGTGGTTCGACTCGAAAAGTGTAAGCGGGAGCGGTACAAGATGTATTCTCGAGTGTTTGTGAACTCACAAATACCGCGAGAATTCAGCTTGCAGGCAAGGTTACAGACATATATGATACAGGGGAAAAAGACGGAGTGGAAAAGACTGAAAAACAAAAAGTGACAAAAAGCGATCGCGAAAAACACGGAAGTAACCATTAACATGTAGTTCCAGGGAGCTAGTTAGCTTAGCTGTTACCTGCCTGGCATGTCCCAGTGAAACCTTTGGGAGCTAACCATTTTATTTGCAGTCATTAAATACATTTCGAATTATAAGGGCTGTCTAATATTTGTTAGATATATATTTTTTAATAATAGAATAATATTCAAATTTCGAAGTCGAAGCCCTAGTGTTTAGCAGCGCTGTAGAGGCTAGAGGACGCAGGCTGTTCGCTGCTCGAGCGGCCCGCTAAGACTCTACTCAGCACTTTTCACGGCTTGTATTCTTACACAGCTGAATCAATGACCTCAATTTTTCAATTAAATTACGGATTATAATACAACTTGTATGTAGTAATAGGCATTTTTATGAACTACTTAGAAAAAAAATCGGGTATAGCTTCTTTAAGTAGAGTCACTATTTGACAGGGTTTGTGAGGGTTGTCCTCTCTTTTTCACTTTTCTGTGATGTAACTGAGGTCAAGAATTGAAGTACTAGCAATGGAACCAAACTGTTCTTAGAGCAAGGAATTAGTCCCCACACATTTCAAACACTGGGGATAGGGAATGTATTTGGTTTTGCCTTGTGTTACCTGTTTGAACGGCAACTGTCCGGTCAGCTCAGTCCCCAACATCACCATGCGGGCCACCCAGAAGAATATCAGGTCGCTTCCAGTCTCGAGGATGGAGTTGGGATAGAACTGCTCAAGATCTTTAGTCTGTCATCACAAAGTATGCAGAGATGTCGTGTGTGAGAAGGGTCAACAGTGACTACAATGTTTGAGAAAACGTTCCCATTTTAATGTGAACGTTTAATAAGAAATTAATCAACACTGTACCTTCGGGACGGAGGTTTTTAGTTCCAAGATGGCAAACACATTGGCACAGTTTTATCCCCACTGCTATTAACATGATGAACACTTACTATTGTTTCTTTTTACTATTTCTGTGGTGGTGGTCTCTCTTTTTACATCATTCACATAATTAGAGCTGTGAACATTTACTGTTCATATTGTTTTTGAATAAATGTATTGAATGAGATGCAATGTCTGTCAATAAAGTAGACCTAATTCTGAACCTGAAACCCATAAACCTTTAAAGATCTAATTTGCCAGAGATGGAATTGTTACTACTTACAGTAAAATATAAACACATCACATACTGGAAATGTGAAAGATCATAGAATAGTCTGCACCCTCGAGCTGCTAACATGTGCAGTAGTATCATCACTGTGAATATTTGAACCCTCAGAGTTTTTACTTCAATATCCTTGCACTAGTGTATTACAGATATATGAATAGATGTATACTTCGGTTTTTAAACCAAATATTTAGAGTAAACTTTTTTTTACATATAAAATATATATAATTATTTGCACTAGAGTCGTATTTAGGTTGATACTTTAAATGTTAAGCTAGAGATAAATATTTTATTTCATTTTGAAAGTGTAGAGTTGTTTTTCCCACTGTAGCCTTATCTTAAAGTTTAATCCAACATTTCTGTCAAATTAGACATTCTGGGATGAATCAAGAGCAGTCAGAACTCCATACTTTTTATGGTTATAGAACATATTTTGCAATGAAGTTCATAGAGATATGTATTAATTTCTGTCTAGAGCTGTGCATTATTCCAGAGTCCTAAATTAAATTAGTAAATTAAGTAAGTTATACTATTCTTTACCGGTAGGGAAATACATCCTCCGCATTTGACCTATTCCCCATTGCCGCTAGGGCCCTAGTCAGGAGTAGTGATTGCTTCCAGATGTTGATGCTGTTGGTCAAGACCAGAGTTGCAGGTTGCTACATATTGTAAATGTTTTCAGTGGTAGGGGGAGCAGAGCAGCCAGAGGGTGAAAACTCCACTCAGAAAGGCCCTGTTTTGACTAGGATTTAAACCCAGGACCTTGCCTGCAGAGAAGCAAGAGTGCTAACCACTCTACCACCATGTCACCCTGTTAGTGAATGTTCCTCTGCTGTGAAAGGGGAAGTGTTCATTTTCAAAAACAAATCCTACTCATTATTACTACGGTAGTGTTGATGAGTGAGTCGTACTTGGTGCGGCCAGCCCAGCATGGCGAAAGGGAAGAGCCCAGAGGAAAACCATGTATCCAAAACATCTGGATCTGGACAAACAAGAATAACAAATATGAGGACTGTTTAAAAGGACATACCTTACAAAACATCTTATTGTTTGGTATTTTAACCATGTTAAACACTACCTTGAAAGACCTATAGATGTTTTAGCTTCATCAGGCTTAAACTCAAAACTTTTTTTCTTCGCAAATACAGTGGTCCCTTATACACCTTTTGTGGCCTGGCTGTTGTCAGGCCCCTTTTTTCTACGCAAATACAGTGGTCCCTTATACACCATAAGATAAGATATACAGTGCCTTGCGAAAGTATTCGGCCCCCTTGAACCTTTCAACATTTTGCCACATTTTAGGCTTCAAACTTAGATATAAAATTTTATTTTTTTGTCATGAATCAACAACAAGTGGGACACAATTGTGAAGTGGAACGAAATTTATTGGATAATTTAAACTTTTTTAACAAATAAAAAACTGAAAAGTGGGGTGTGCAATATTATTCGGCCCCTTACTTTCAGTGCAGCAAACTCACTCCAGAAGTTCAGTGAGGATCTTTGAATGATCCAATGTTGTCCTAAATGACTGATGATGATAAATAGAATGCACCTGTGTGTAATCAAGTCTCCGTATAAATGCACCTGCTCTTTGATAGTCTCAGGGTTCTGTTTAAAGCGCAGAGAGAACCATGAAGACAAAGGAACACACCAGGCAGGTCCGAGATACTGTTGTGGAGAAGTTTATTATTCCTACCTGTATGTTCTCTGTGGAGATACTGTTGTGGAGAAGCCACAATAATGTTAAAGAAAAAACAGTTGGAAGCGCGATATCAGCGGCAAGTAAAGCGCAGTACCAGCATCTGGAGCAGTATCACTCCCAGCCAAGCCCAGCAGCCTCCATCGCCAGCCCAAGCCCAGCAGCCCCATCGCCGCCAGCAGCTGCCTCAAGGAAGGATGTGGAAGCTCACTCATCCCTTCCAGCTTGTCCTATTGCTGTGAATGGCCTCAAGATTAGGACCTTCCATCTCAGAATTCAGTTGAGAGGGTGATTGGTGTTGTGCGCAACAAATTCAAATTCTTACATTCACTGTACCGTGCATATGCTTCTTCAATGTGAGGGGGTGAAAACCTAATGCCTTTAAGATAGGATTGTCACTGTTTGCTGTGCCTTAACGAACATGTGCAAAAGTGTTGTTTGAGTGCCTTGTTCATAAACTTATGAACCAACCATGAAACCCCTCATGTCATCTGGATCCGAGTCAGAGTCAGAACAGACACGGAGAAGCTGCATTTCAAGCTTTCTATGCTCCACATGTCTGGAACAAACCTCCCAGAAAGCCTCAGATCAGCTGTAAAATAACACTCAGTGTGTTTACATCCAGGTTAATGACCACACCGGTTCTCAGCTGTTTTGAATATTTTTTATTCTAATGTACAAATCTGCTCGGCTTCTTTTAATCTGGAGATTACTTATGCTGTTATTTTTTACCTATGATTATTTGTTTTAAGTTAAAGTTTAAAAATATGATATGTTTTTCATATTTCATTACTATTTTTAAACACATAGAATTCTTAGGTTAGACTGTCCAACAAACTATGTGTTAAAAAAGGTTAAGATTCTTGAGTTTTAAAATAATAATTCAATTTAACTATGGCGACCACTGCTCCTGACGTATGCCTTAGTGGCATCAGGATGCAAAGGATGAATTGCCCTACAGGGATCAATAAAGTGCACCTTTACTTTTACCTTTACCTTACCTTTGATACCCAGACGATCACTTCACCAAAAAAATCATGCTGGATTCTGGCTTGGAAACCGTTGTCAGCCTCGGGTTTTGGTCAGGTTTGGTTAGAACCTTCTTGGATTCTGGCTGGATGGGGCTTAACTTTGCACTATGGACTAGAACTGTAATCAGGCCTAGAAAGTCCTTAAAAAGCAGATGACTATAGTGTACTGGGTGTACTTGTAGAAAAGGAGTGGAGATCTACCACCAGCTGAGACAAATGGGTGCCTCACTGGACTGGAGCAGAGCCTGTTTTACCATGGACCCGGTAAGAACACGTACAATACACACTGTATACGCAATCAACTGAAAGGAATACAATTGTGATGGAAATGGGCAAATATTTAAGTCCAAAATATTGGCTCTGATGACATTTCATATTGATATCCGTTATATTTATTTATTATACGGCTCCTCACAGCAGCAGTAGAACGCTCCATTGATTTGAATGTAATTTCAAAACGTTCTACCGGTCATTATTTTCTATAACGGACCTCTCAAAACAATAATGACCGCTGCCCATGGCAACGCACTCTCTGCTTGTCTTTCAGATGCGTGGATAACTCCGCAAATAGTTCCGGCCACTCCGGAGCTAGCCACGCTCAATAAACGCAAATGCCAATCAATCAGCACACTTAAATGTTAATCGGAGAATACTTATACATTCTTCACACACGTGCACGGAGATTTTCAGAATTTACTGGTCTTGTCTTCATGACAAAAATACTATTTATCTGCGTCAAAAAGCGACCATGAAAAATCCGGAAGTAGTTCCGGCCACTCCGGAGCTAGCCACGCTCATTAAACGCAAATGCCAATCAATCAACGCTATTAAATGTTAATTTGAGAATACATTGGACATATACATTCTTAATACAAGTGCACGGAAGTTTTCTGAATTTTCCGTTTACGTTTTCATGACAAAAACACTGATGTAATGCGAGAAAAGGCGGTCCCGAAAAACCCGGAAGTAGATACCGGCACATTTTAGGACACATTTGCAGAGGATCGAATTATGGATTTAGGTTAGGTTTATGTTTGGGTCACTCACCGCTGATGTTCACAATTCTTTGTTAATTTTTCATGCAGTTCCAGGGAGTTCTAGTTTGGAAGTTGATAGCCTAACTGTTGCTAGCATCCATCCATCCATTGTGTACCCTTTAATCCATTTCTGGGTCAGGGGGGTGGCAATCACAGATGCCACCCAAGTCTCATAGCACCAGCCCCTCACTGACCCTCTGCAGGTGGTGAGTCCACAGGAGGACGGCTGCTCTCTGAGTGTGAGCATAGCCTTGATCTTTCAGTGGGGGCTTTGGGCAAAGTGAGGTTAAGTGTCTTGCCCAAGGACACAACGACAGCAGTCATCAGTGGGAGTCGGTGGAGTGTGTTCTGTTGGTACAAAGCCGTATAATAAGCGGCAGACGTCCGCTTCACCCTGTCGGTACTTATTTTCCGATAATGACCTGCGTGATATACGTTATCCCTTACATATAACACCTGCCACCAGACTTGTGTGTGAACCTTTGTTATGGAAGTTTTTTTTTTGTCATCAGATTTAGAATTTTTTTTAGCTTGAATTTTTCCATTTGAAATTTCTAACCCTGAAAAAGCATGTTTGAATATTTTTATCTTTGCATTTCAGTCACTAAAAATTCAGTTTAACCCTATATGCCCGCGTGCATCGGTGCCGATGCACGCGCACATGTTTTACAAATGATCAATTTACTCGCGAACGGTCAAACGTAGCAACTTACTTTTTTTTCCTCTGTGAAGTACGTAATCAGGGCTTTCCAAAACTAGTTTTGATTTGTCTGTGCGATGCACGGAGGATAAACTACGTTTGTCTGAAAGTCCGTGTCCAAAGCATGACCCGTGAGGTACAAACAGCTGTGAGATACAAACACACGGGGACTGCCAAAGATCGTCAGAGAGTGAGATCTCTCACTCCTCTGCGTTTCCTTGTTCTCCCACAGTTGAAACTACAGCTGCGATTGCAATAACCGGCTGAAGAGTGCGCATTATTGATAAAGACGATAATAAATACAGTAAAATGACATTATGTGTATATGATGTATATAAATATATGTATTAAATAAATAATTGATGTTTTTTTTTTTTTGGCTCAGTTTTTTATGTTTTACGTTTTTTACAGCTGTACTACAGAAGCAACCCCAGCATTATAGACAAACTACTTCAAGAAGGGCATCAGGAGTACAGAGTTTTTTGCTTTTATAGTGGAATTTTGTAAAAAGTATAATAGTTAGAGATTCAATTTTTTCCCCCATTATCCCCAAGACCATAAATAACATTTCTATGCAGTGTAAAAAGTTGTTTATAGCATTTCATTGTGTTTTTTCAATACATTTTTGTTAAATTGATTTTCCGTTTGATTTTTTTCTTTGTCTTTATGATTCCATCATTTTTATATAATTCATATGACAGCTTTACAATATGAATATTCTAAAACCCCAGGTTGTACTGAAAAAAACAAAGTATACTGCTTGACTCTGCATCAAAAGATGACTGTTTTATGAACCATTATACACAAAGAAAACCAGGCGAGGAAAGTTCCCCAAAATGACCCATGGGCATAGAGGGTTAAGAATTTCAATGTGATTAAAATTTCAAAATATACAAAAAAAAAATGTAAATGATTTTTTTGTTCCATCAGAAATTTATATTTTAAATCACAGGTGTCAAAGTCAAGGCCCGGGGGCCAGATCCGGCCCGCGAGACCATTTCCAGTGGCCCCTGAGATTATTTTAAATTATTATATTAAATAGCAGCATTGACGGTATTAAGCGACAATGACATGTTATCCATTACTAATTTTCTCAAGAATACCATAAAATGTAATTCCTTAAGAAATGTTAAGCCAACATGTAATTAGAAGTTAGTTGTTATGCTATGTTTTTACATTTCAAGGAGGATTTCCCAATTTGTTAGTAAAAAAACGCCCTCTCCACTTTTTGAACAAAACTCTCTGGTCTTATTTGACGAGCACGAATCACCAGAATGATTGACAGTTGGGAGGACCAATAGTCTGATGATCCACCCGGAAGTAGAAAATCTTAACATTAACCTTCAATATTTGGTCCAGTTTTGGTCCAGTCCACAGGAACTGAACTAAATCTAATCAGAAAAGAATATCCAGTCTAACTAATGTGAAACAAGTCATTTATATAGATACCTTCATATTATAAAAAGTATAAAAAATGAAACCCACTTATTCTTTCGGCCCTCAACCAAAATAAGTTTGACACCCCTGTTTTAAATGGACCTGAATTCATCTATTTGAATGTTTTTAACATCTTGAATATTTTTGTCTGTGAATTTCAGTCACTGATTATCGATTTCATAATGTTAAATTCAACAGTCAAAATTCAACACGAAAAAATACGACACATCCGCTGTTCTGACTAGTTGTGTGCTCTGTCAGTTGGTCTGCGCATGATGAACTCTGTTTTCTCTTCACTGACGTTGGAATCTCTCGTTATGTCTCCCCGTTACTATGGACATATTTATATTAGTTTATCGGTCTGACAGTTAACGTTATACTTTACTTCGATGTGGATTAGATACATCTTAACAGCAATAAAAAAACATTTTGCATGTAGCACAAACTGTAGAGAGTGTTAACAATTTGTTTGTACATTTTTATAAACTGGTAATAATTTATCCAGCGTTATTTGTTTGATTAATATTTGACATAAGCCCCCGCTGAAAGATCAAGGCTGTCCTCTCAGCGACAGAGATGGCTTCTGTGGACCCTCCACCTGCAGGAGGAGCAGTGAGGAGAAGTGAGGAGCAGGGGGATCAGTGCTTTGTGAATTGGGTGGCAGCTGACCCTACATTATCTACATTAGACCCTTTAGAATTAATGATTTTGTTAACTTAGAATATTTACGTTACCGTCACTTTGAGAGAGAGAGAGAGAAAGAGAGAGAGGTTTAGCTATACAGCCATACGCTGTTCTTACCGTTGTTACTTTATTTCAGAGACAACTCTGCAAATATCTTTTAGTATACAAGAGTTCAAGCTGTGGAATACATGTTTTTTGTTAATTCCTTTACATGGAGTTTTTGCTCTTTTTCAAGTAACACGAGTGAGCCCTGTGGAAACTGCTACACGGGAAATAACGCTGCACCTAATAGACCGACGTTACCAACAATAACACTGTCCTTCGTTGCTATAAATGTTCAACATGTGATGGTTTTCATGAACACAAACAAACACACACTGCCTAAAAAAATAAATAGGAATATACAGCAATAATAATTTGCAACAAGCACATTCACCCAAAATGTTCGAAAGACTGACTCGTCAAATGAATGTAGTATCATCTTGTTATTCGCCTTGGTTTCATCACAATCCATTCATTCGAAATCCCATATCAACCTGTTAGATTCATGTTATCAACCCGATAGACCTGCTGAAAGCTAGCGCCTCAGTAAAAGATTAGCGCCTCAGTAAAATGACGCATGCGCAGACCAACTGACAGAGAACACAACTGGTCAGAACACCGGATGTGTCATGTAAATTTTTCACCATCGTATTTATTCTCGTTGAATTTTGACTGTTGAATTTAACATTATGAAATTGACAAACAGTGACTGAAATTCACAGAGAAAAATATTCAAGATCTTAAAAACATTGAAATAGATTAATTCAGGTCCATTTAAAAGTCAATGTCTGATGGAACAAATAATCAGTCTTTTTTTTTCATTGACATTTTTTTAAAATATATTTTGAAGGTGAATGTCATTTTGAAATTTTAATCACTTAGAAATTTGTAAACTGAAATTTTAGTGACTGAAATGGATGGATATGGATGGATGGAAACTATTGAGGTCGGGTAGTCTAAAAATAAAACCTTTTTTATGTTTTGCCCAGGAATCAAATTGAGTTATAACAACTATGATGCTTAGCTTAGCTGTGCAGCAAATATGAAAATGCCAATAATTAACCCTTTTAGTCAGGTTTGGTTACTTTCTGGTCCCTTTCTGGTCACTTCCAGGGATTCAACCGAGCAGTGACGGAGGCCTTTGTGCGCCTGTGTGACTCGGGGCTCATCTACCGCTCCGAGGCGCTCATCAACTGGAGCTGTGCGCTGCAGTCGGCCATCTCTGACATAGAGGTTGTTGTGTGCAAGTGCAAGTGCAAGTGCAAGTGCAAGTGCAAGTGCAAGTGCATGTGCAAGTGCAAGTGCAAGTGCAGGTGCATTATGGCTGTAATAATTGTATATTTCTGCAGGTTGACTCTAAAGAGCTGTTTGGAAGGACCCTGCTGTCTGTGCCTGGTTATAGCCGGCCAGTGGAGTTTGGGACAATGGTCACCTTTGCTTATCCAATAGAAGGCCTTGGTCCGTATTCTTTGAATGTTTAATAATGTGTTTTTGTGTCACTGTATTTTTCTCACATGTGTGTGTTTAAGAGGGGGAGATTTCTGTGTCCACCACTCGTCCTGAGACAATGTTTGGGGACGTGGCTATAGCGGTCCATCCTGATGATCCCAGATACCAGGTGTGATACAGGGGCTTGCATGCATTCTTTCATATTACAGGAAATGATTACTATCCATATGTGTAATTCAGTCACTTAAGAAACGAACATTCAGAGTCAGTTCTGGAGGCCATGTTCCGGCTTTTCCCCTCTGGGGGAGATATCATTCCTTGAGTTTCTCTCGACATAAAAATTGCTTTCTTTCTTTTCTTCAGACTGAACAGGGCACTAAATTGGATTATCTTGTATTGCTTTTAAAATTCCTGCTTTATGTGCTCATTTCAAAATCTTCTTTCACATTGTCAAATTGTTTTCTTTCATAGTATTCATTTTTATGTCTCACTATGAGAAACGCCCCTTCGGGTGTTCACAGAAGCCCTATACCATTACACCAGTCCTGATTGGCTGGCAGTGGTGACATTGCAACGTTTTTAAAAATGCCACTCGTACGACGTCACCTGCCATTCGATCACCTCTTCTCGCTTCACTAAGCCAAGTTACCGGAACTCCAGTGTATCTGACGGCTAATTCAACTGTTTACAGGCAAGAGCTAATCCCTCTGCTGCTGAACGTTAGCTGTCACTACACAAGACTGTTAGTGCGAGACTAGCTTTGGAGTTTTTGTCTGTTAGCTACACCAAGCATTCTCTCTGCTTTGCCTGCAACCACACCAGGTATCGGTCTCCTTCCACAGAGTTGGAAGACGTCCAGCGCTGCACCTGCGGAAACAAGATCTCGGGCAACGACACACACCAGGTCTGCTCGACATGCCTTAGGCTGGAACACGCCCGGGACGCACTTGAGAATCCCGGATTGTGCATGCACTGCTCCCGGTGAGGACGATGGTTCCTTCGGTGAGGAGTTTTTGGTGTCGGACGACGAAGAGGACTCTTCCTCTTTCGTTCCCCCGGACCAAGTCTTTCCACTTACGGCTCAGGCTAGGGATGATAGTGGGGCTGCACAGCCACCGCTCAGCGCTGACCTGCATGACATGTACAAACGCGCTGCGGACAGGCTGGACATCGGGCGGCATGGTGGCTGAGTGGATAACACCCACTTTTCGGTCTGATGGCTTCGGTGGTTAGGGTTGTGAAGTTGGGCAGACATCACATGCGGAGCTTCCAGCTTTGGGGGAGGCATTAAAGCTGGATCCCGTACGTCACCGTATGCGCAAAGTCAGGGTCACTCCTCAGTGCACACTCTCATTAAGAGAGTGGCACAGGAGGGATCTTCTGACCGAGGGAGTGGGTTTGGGCACTGTCTCATCCAGGAAGGTGGTCATGACATATGCTTGCCTCACGGGCTGGGGCAGTGTGTTCGAGGGCAGACCCGTAAACGGGGTAAGGAGTCCTCACCTCAGCTGTGCTCATATAACCTATTTGGAGCATATGGTAGTGGCACTTACGTTGAAACACTTTCTCCTGTTCCTCCAGGGGCACCATGTGCTGGTGAGGATGGACAACACAGCCACTGTGGCTCAGATAAATCGCCATGGGGGACTGCACTCCCGCTGCTTGCTCACGCACAAGCTTCTCTTGTGGAGAAATGCACTCCTCTTATCTTTTAAGAGTGACGCATGTTCCCGCCGTTCTGAATGTAGGCACAGATCTCCTCTCCAGAGGGAACCCCCTATACGGAGAGTGGCGCCTGAACACATGGGTTGTGGACCAGATCTGGGTCGGGTTTGGCCGCGCATAGGTGGACTTCTTTGCATCCACAGAGAATGCTCACTGCCCACTGTTCTACTCCCTACACCAGTGGTTCTCAAACCATTTACACCAAGTACCCCCTCAGAAAATACTTGCCTCTCCAAGTACCACCACAAATGACCAACACCACACAGTAGCGTAAAAACAAGGCAGAGGTTTCATTCCTAAAGAAGCTTTTGTACATGCTGCTCCTTCGACATGGAACGTGTTGCAAAAAGACTGGAAATGATCTGACTGTATTTCATTGAATGCTTTTAGATCCAGATTGAGAGCACTTGAGACATCTTCAGTGAAATTTAACTGTTTTTATAATCAGTATTTCTATGAAATTGTACGTGACTGTTTTATAATCTGTTAGTAACTATTTTATAATCTGTAATTTTTGTAGAGGACTCCCTTGAAAAAGAGGTTATCATTGACTGCCAGCCATTTTTGATGACTTCACTGATTGTCAAGGCTCACAGAATATTGTGTGCTATAAAAAATATGAAACCAGAGTCTGAAAGACAGGACTGTCTACTTTCAGCAGTAAAAAGACGTTTGTTTTTAGCTTGTTTCATTCTCCTGTGAGCTCCAGTCGAAAAGAGGGGAGTGTGACAAAAAGCACCAGTCTTACACAAAAAGCTGAGAAAATGAGGTGTTTGTGAAAACAGACGAACCTGCAGAAAAGGGACTGTAACACTATTTAGTTTAACTTTAGCATCTCCTCAAACATGTCCAGGATCTAACATGTTAGAAAACAGCAACAACAAGTTATGAGAAAGTGTTTTTGATGCAAAATAATGTTTTATGGCACACACACCCACATCCACAAAGTGTTGCTCGAATATTTCAAAATGTAAATATAAAAACGTCAAAATGTACATATTGAAAGTAGAGCCCATGACAAACTGTCCCAGAAAGAATGGTATTCGTATTCATCCATTAGGTGGCGCTATATTCATGTCAATAAGAGTACATCAGAGATAAGTAAAATTACAATTATAAACACTATAAATGACAATAAATTAAAGTGAACAGACAATATACAGTGCCTTGCGAAAGTATTCGGCCCCCTTGAACCTTTCAACATTTTGCCACATTTCAGGCTTCAAAAATAAAGATATATAATTATAATTTTTTGTCATGAATCAACAACAAGTGGGACACAATCGTGAAGTGGAACGGAATTTATTGGATAATTTAAACTTTTTTAACAAATAAAAAACTGAAAAGTTTTATTATTCGGCCCCTTTACTTTCAGTGCAGCAAACTCACTCCAGAAGTTCAGTGAGGATCTTTGAATGATCCAATGTTGTCCTAAATGACTGATGATGATAAATAGAATGCACCTGTGTGTAATCAAGTCTCAGTATAAATGCACCTGCTCTTTGATCTTTTTTATGGAAGAGTGGCAAGAAGAAAGCCATTTCTCAAAGATATCCATAAAAATTCTCGTTTAAAGTTTGCCACAAGCCACCTGGGAGACACACCAGCATGTGGAAGAAGGTGCTCTGGTCAGATGAAACCAAAATCAAACTTTTTGGCCACAATGCAAAACGATATGTTTGGCGTAAAAGCAACACAGCTCATCACCCTGAACACACCATCCCCACTGTCAAAAATGGTGGTGGCAGCATCATGGTTTGGGCCTGCTTTTCTTCAGCAGGGACAGGGAAGATGGCTAGAATTGATGGGAAGATGGATGGAGCCAAATACACAACCATTATGGAAGAAAACCTGTCGGAGTCTGCAAAAGACCTGAGACTGGGATTGGGAGATTTATCTTCCAACAGGACAATGATCCAAAACATAAAGCCAAATCTACAATGGAATGGTTCACAAATAGACGTATCCAGGTGTTAGAATGGCCAAGTCAAAGTCCAGACCTGAATCCAATCGAGAATCTGTCGAAAGAGCTGAAGACTGCTGTTCACAAACGCTCTCCATCCAACCTCACTGAGCTCGAGCTGTTTTGCAAGGAAGAATGGGAAAGAATTCCAGTCTCTCGATGTGCAAAACTGATAGACAAACCCCAAGCGACTTGCAGCTGTAATTGCAGAAAAAGGTGGCGCTACAAAGTATTAGCGCAAGGGGGCCGAATAATATTGCACGCCCCACTTTTCAGTTTATTTGTTAAAAAAGTTTAAATTATCCAATAAATTTTGTTCCACTTCACGATTGTGTCCCACTTGTTGTTGATTCTGGACAAAAAATTTAATTTTTATATCCTTATGTTTGAAGCCTGAAATGTGGCGAAATGTTGAAAGGTTCAAGGGGGCCGAATACTTTCGCAAGGCACTGTACTTCTACTATAAGTGCAATAGAATACTGTTGTGTGTCTTTGTGTGTTTGGGCGCGTATATGTGTTCCACATGGTCTGTCAGCTCTGGAGACACATTTACTGCTCAAACTGACTCCAAATGTAGCCTGACCCTGACTATATTACTCCATGCCTGCTTCACCGCTGTCTCTCCTGCTCAGAGTGTTCAGGCAGTGATCTTTGACCAAGACACCCATAGAGCTCTGCTGCCACCTGCTGGCTTAATAAAATACTGTCTACAGCCAAACCCCAGACATATATGATACACAGACACAGACGGACAGGAAAAGATTGAAAGTCAATCAGTTTTAGTCAATTGACGTCAATGACGTCAATGAGTTAATCTCAATGGTCCTTCCCAGGTTAAATAAAAAAATAAAATAAAAATATATATATATATTATATTATTATTTTTTTTTTTTTCCAGTGATTCTTTGGCGTACCCCTAGAGGGAGTACGCATACCCCACTTTGAGAACCACTGGTGTAATACACAGGGGCTGCTCATTCCATAATTTAGGCCCAACAATCAAAAAAGCTAGATCTCTTCGGAGTTTCCGTTTAGTCGGAGGAACCCAGAGCAGAGCCTGATCCGCCAACCTGAGAGAACGTGATGGACCGTATGACTTCAGTAGGTCAGACGGATAACGCGGAGCAAGGCATTTATAGACAAACAAAAGGACTTTAAAATCAATCCGGTTGCGAACAGGAAGCCAATGAAAGGATGACAGGACCGGAGCGATATGGTTATATTCAGAGTTCCTGTTAACAGATGCGCCGCAGCGTTCTGTACAAACTGCAGACGAGCAAGCGAGGACTGGCTGATACCGGTGTACAAGGCGTTACAATAGTCCAGCTGAGTCGTAACAAAAGCGCAAATCAAAAGTTCAAAATTTTGCCTTGAAAAGAGAGGACTGTATTTAAGAAAGTTGCCTTAAAGTGAAGAAACTGGACTTCACTACTGCACTTATTTGTTTAGCAAATTTACAATCAGCATTAGGGCTGGGACAA